TATATACTTTGTTCTTGCTCTTTACATCATAGCATAACCTCAGATGTGAAATTTCATTTTTGTTTCAAAAGGGGACAAGTCTGGTTATGTCAAAGTTGCTTTCCAGGCCCTCTGAGAGTAGATCTACTTTACACTTTCAGGATGAGCACTAGGATGCAAAATCACTGCTGCTGTCTTGGAAGTAATGGTGATCATGCTGCCGAGGGAGGTCAGTTGGTCTGCGGCTGCTGACCTGCTTGCCAGGGAACCTGTGCAGCTTTACTGCCGTGGAGACCGTAGCGAGTCGAAATCACCACGTTAAACCTAGACACACATCTGGTCGTTTCTTTGACGCATGAGCTTGAGAGCACTCTAATAATTTATTTTGAAAAATCCAAGCAAAACATTATTGAAGTCAGATCAAATGAAAAATGGCTACAACTGTTGTCTGGGGTGGGGGTGGAATAAAACTACAGTGCTTAGAACTCCACAGCTGCAGCATCTAGGGCAAACTTACTTGTGCCCTAAAGGATACAAAGGGCAAATAGCAAACTTGTAGCCTAAAAACCGTGTCCTATAGCAAAGGTAGAGTGTGGATCTGTTTGGGGAAGTGCTTAAAAGTTGGCTAGAGATGTAGTGGCATGGTTTGGAGGACCTTCACAAAAATAACCTCACAACTGAACAGCATCATCCTTTGGTTGACACTCTTGGTTAGAAACTTTAATAGACTTTTTTCCTAGTCAATGAAATTGGAATGGTTTATTTTTATTTTGTTGGAGGGACACCAATAATGCAATACAGTTAACTGTGGACTATCTTTTTCTAGTTCCTGCCAGCACAGGTCTGGAAACCAGTGGTCTAAGGGATGCTGGATGAAAAAGCATTTGCCCGTCTCCCCCCGCCCCACCCCCAACCCACCCAGCACTCACTGAATGACTTATTTAATAAAACCATATGATAAACACAAGCTTGTGTTAAGGAAGAACAGTTTCCAAGAATATGTAGTGGCAAAAGCCAGCCTTTGTTTTGAGCATACCAATTTCCATGACCAGTTGGGAGTACACCTCGAGACTTGATTCACTAGTTGAGGTTTCACAGGCCCCTGGTGGAGTGAGGTTATTGTTGGGGGGCCGCTGTGATTTAGCTATGTGTCTAACATGGAAGGTGCTACTACAGACATTGAGCATGTCTACTGTAGGTGAAGGGGGGCCGTGGGTACCACCCATCTCAGTGCATCCAGGGAAGGGTCGTCTTTTCCGTATCTCATGCTGAAGGGCAGCAGTGGGGTCAGTACCTGTCAGGGTGGGTGTCTGAAAAGGTTCAGAGCATAATGTTACGTAAGCAGGCTGAGAAAAGGTTGAAGATACCCCATTTTCGTCTTAATCCTAGCTCTTTGATGTCGGTAGTCGTTCTTCAGTGGAGGAAGAGCGGGGAGTCAGGCTCCTCAAGCTGAGTGCTGAGTTTGGTGCTTGGGGGAAAGGGGAGGGGAGGTTGAGTATGGACTTGGATAGTCTGAGTTGGTCTGGGCAGAGGAGCAGGTCTCTGCTGGACCTAACGCCGGAAAGAGTTTGGCTTGCAGAGGAAATGGAGGGGACGAGGAAGCTTATTTGGCTTCAGCAGCAAGATGAAGCTATCCCCATAAAGAGGTGTGGGGGTGGGGGAGATCCGAGGAGAGCAGGGGGCAGTGACAGGAAACAGGATTGGGGTCACAGGGCTTAGACCAGAGGCCTGCCAGGGGGTCTGAATTAGGATCCTTGTGGGCCGAACAGGGTGTTTCATAAACAGTGTTCACTTACTACAGAGATGTGTTGATTAGAGAGGTCTCTTCCAGGGCCGTGATTAGTTTTGCTCTCTGGCAGATTTTTGTTTCCCAATACATGCTAAAAGCATGATGACGAAGAAAAGCTGATTGTGTGGCAGATCGATTGCTGTCCAAGAGATTGAGAAGAAATGTGTCTTCCAAGTGCCCGGAATTCCTTTCCTCAGGTGCCCTTCTGTGTCCTCCTCCTTCGGGTGGGTTGTGTTCTTACATCCCCGCTCCTCTCTTCCTCATCACATCCCGCTGTCCAGGAAGGGGTGTATACCCACCACTCAAACATGAGTAGGTTTTAAGCAGGGGCCAGTTGCCCCTGAAGCTTGACCCCTCAGGGGAAGAACCTCATAACACACCCAGTCACGTGTCAGGGAACATCACTCACTGGGAATCTGAAGAGATGGGGTGTGTTAATGGGGAAATGTCCTGTTTCAGAGGTTAAGAATGATTCCACGTGAATGGCCTCCTCACCTGCACCCGTTGCTCCTGCTCTTTCCAGGATGGGGGTGCTGCTACTATAATGGATTGGTTCTCCTTTTTTCTTCTGAGGCCAAGCCCTTGGATTTGTGAGTGGAATCCATTTCCTACCAAGGCTGCAAGAGTCAGAAATCTGTCTGTAGCCCTTTCACTGAAAACTGCTTCTGTTCACAGGCATGAGATTGACTGTGTCCTTTTAGGTACAGCAGACCTGTGATGAGCAGCTTTCAATGGTCTGTCCTTCCGGACATAAGCACGTTTGTGCGAATACTTCCAGGACGCGACTGGGAGCTGGGAGCTGATACATAAGATACGCTCCATGCCTGCAAGGGGTTAACCATTCAGATCTTGAAACAGAAGACAAGCAGCCTAATGCAGAAATCACCCCCGGAGTCCCCGGCGCTGGTTACCTGTCTTGCTTGAGCTCCTTCCCATGACCCTCTTATTTGGCTGTTTAACCTTGAGTAAAACAGCTCCAGCCCTGACATGTGCCCTCCTCAAATAATGAACTAGAAGCTGCTTTCTTGTTCTTCTCATGGTGGAAATAAATCCCTTTCCACCATCACACTTGCTCAGGGCAAAAGGAGAAAGTGGCGCCCCGTTAGAGATAGAGCATGCAGCAGCTCCTCCAATCCCGGCTTGACTAACAAGTAGTAAGCCTGCATTTCTAGGCTGGGACTGAAGGGATTCCAGGCTTAGGGCTGCCTGGATTCCATGTGCTAGCTGGTCCCTCTGCCTCTGTCTTGGTTGTGGTGTAGCCTGGTGTCTTAGAGGAAGATGGCTACCAAATACGAGAAGGGGCAGGGAAGAAGGGCTTGGCTGTGGTATTTTCTTAGTGTGTCTTTGATTGCAACCTAGCCTGGGAGGTGAGGTTGCAGCAGCTCCTTGGGAAGAAGACACTTGAGAAGTCTTGAGGGCCAAGAATACGAAAAAAAAAATTGTCTAAAGTGGGTTGACCGCTCAATCTTAGAGGCCAGTTCTGGGCTGACCCTTGTATTCAACGTTGAATCTCTGGACCTTCCCTGCTCTTTTTCAGGTCACAGATGTTCAGAAGAAATGGGGTTTGATGAAAGAAGGATGGCATGATTTCCCACCCCCCTCCGTCAGGCTTTTGACCTCTCAAATACTAAAGGTTTTTGGCACACAAATAAGTACCCCAAGTCAGGTTTCAGTTTTAAGAAGACAGCAGGGTTTATGCACTAGTTTGACTCCCATACTAAGGAACTGACTCTTAATTTTTCCCTTCTTATTAACTTGTCAGTAGTTAATCAGGCCAAACTCTGATGTGGGGCCAAAGTTAAGACAATGCTTTCCAGTTTCTCCTTTCATGGGTGATACAATTGGAATGACTGTTTTTGATACCCAGGGTACAAAAGGGATTTGAGAAATATCCACGGCGGGTAATATGTATTGCTACAACTGGTACTTCCAGGGAACTCTCTAGCTGTGTTTAGTTTCTGTTGCTGAGGTCAAGTCTATGTCCTGGTCCGTGTCCACAGAAACAGGAGTCTCTCTTATATAGGTGGGTATTTTGGAGACCACACATGGAGGAGGATTACCCAAGAAAGGGCTATTCTAGGATGACACACTTTTCCTGGCACTCCTTATTGCTGGGGAGATTTGGTCCAATCTTAACATGAGCCTCCCTGGTTGATCTCAGCCCGAGAGCTGGCTGAGAAGGTTTTCTTTGAGGGACCATGTCTTCTTTGGAAATGGTGTTCTCTACCCTTGTTCTGCTTAACTGTTGCACAAGGGATCTACTTCCTTTTCTTCAGTCATACCAGGCCTTGAGTTTGGGGAAGAAGCATTATTCATTCATTCATTCACTACTATTTGGTTTCCTGTGCCAGAGGAAATTTCCCATCGTATATAAAGAAAAGCCCAGAATCTCACTTCCTCATACTTCCTGAAGGGGTCCTTTGATCCTCTTTCTTTTTTTTTTTTTCATTTATTTTTATTAGTTAGAGGCTAATTACTTTACATCATTGCAGTGGGTTTTGTCATACATTGAAATGAATTAGCCATGGATTTACCTGTATTCCCCATCCCGGTCCCCCCTCCCACCTCCCTCTCCACCCGATCCCTCTGGGTCTTCCCAGTGCACCAGACCCGAGCACTTGTCTCATGCACCCAACCTGGGCTGGTGACTTTGATCCTCTTTCTATTCTTGCTTGGGAGCATTAGCTGAGGGCTCTGTCACACAACCTTGGAGAGACAGGAGTTTCCAACCAGTTTGAACCAGGCTGGCCTGTCTTCCTCCCGGGAGGAGCCCACGGAGCTGCTGGGCGCTTGCTCGTCATCCTTTCTGTTTGCTTTCTCCCTTCTCTTCATTGGTCCTCTCCTGCCCCTCCTCCAGATGCAAGCCTATGATTTGGACAAATCTGGGGATTTTGTTTCAGCTCACCGTCAGCAGGGATTTTTTTTTTTTTTTCCTTTCACAATTTGCACAGAAATATCACGAAAGTCATGTTGAATGCTCATGGGGCTAAGATCCACCTCTCAGTAGGTACCCATAGAGATCTTTGGGTTGAATTCAGTCAGCCAAACCTTTATGCTGGTTGGATTGCAGCCCCATCAGGGAGCTAGGGGTCTCAGCCGGGGAGGGGAGCCCTCTGGCACCTTCTTCTCAGAGGCTGCCTCTGTTGCAGGTGCTTTAGGACATGGCGGGCATCACTAAGTGGCAGCCTCTTCCTACTGGAATCCTCTCCTCTCAACTCTCCGCCTTCATTTCTCACTGGACTGGGACTGGAGGTGGTGCCTCTGGCCTTGGAAAAGGAGAGGACATTCCAGGATCCGGACTACAGGTTTTTTTTTCATTTTCTTCTGATTGAGAAGTATTGTGGCCTCGATATGGAGGAATTTCAGTCTTGGTGCGGTTGGCCTGCCTAGTTGATGTGGGAGCAGGTTTATTCTGTGGCCCCTTGGAGCAGGAGGCCAGAAAACCAGGTGTCCATCCCCGGAGTCCCCTGCTCCCACGCACTGAGCTGCCCTGGAGAGACTCACACCGACGGGACCAGCACTCACCGTGCTCACTCCAGGGCACCGGCCTGCTGCCCTCCTGGTCCTGATCTCCATGGTCCTTCTTTCTGGCTCCTCCCACCTGTCCGTTCACAGAGTGGATTACAGAGCAGGCAAAGCCCTGACTCGCGAGGAACCAAGAGGGCCCGAGAAGTGCCTTCCATGTGGAGAAAGCCATGAGTGGCAGCCGAGCCTGCAAGGGTGGGGATCACTGTCTAAAGGCAGCCCGGCAGGGCCAGAGCTGTGTTTTCACAAGCGCTTCTATCTTGATGTCTTCCTCTTCCTTGTGGGGCTCACTGGCTTTAAGGAAGTTTGTGGTGGGAGCCTTCCTCTCTTCGGGAAGGCAAGTCTGTGGGTGCCTCCTCACATAGTGATGTTTTGTAGGCTGCACTGCTCTTCATCATGTGGCCTCAGCTGACTCCTAACGTGGACTGGGTCTTCTCCTCCTGGAATATAGCTAGAAAGGATTTGCAGAGGCCGTAACCCAAGGAGCATTAGTGGTCAGCACAGCCAATTCCCTTCCCTTCTGGCCTTGAGTTCTGCCTACATCCTGTACTCCCTGGAGAGCTGAGATGGTGCTGGTTGTCTCAGTGTCTGGGTTCCTAAAAAAGGGAAGGACCAGTGTGAGTTGTGTAATATAACAGATTCACTGTTTTGTGTTTACCAGTCATGGTGCTAAAAAGTGATGACATGGAAATGTCCACACTGACCTTCCTACTGCCCTCCAGGGAGTGTACAATCCAGACTATCGTTCCCTCCCCTCCTTGCCAGGAGAATATCTTAAGTAAACTCAGGAGACTCATCTGGTCACTCTGTTCTTCAGTTGATATCTACCAGCTCTGGGTTTCTCATAATTGTGGGATTCCCCAAACTTGAGGACATAAAAGTGTGTCCATCAGTAAGGGGAGAAGGAGCTGACTTTATGCTTTCATTTGACACCTTTTTTTTCTGACCATTTTCTAAAAGTCAGTGAGAACAACTTAACAAGAAGGGCATCAACACCCCTGAGGTTGAGCTCTACCCAACCTAGCCATTGCTCATTGTCTTTCTGCTGATAACCTCACCCCATTTCTCTTGTACCAGTAAAAGTAAGAAATAGCAAAAGCGCTGCAGAGACACGTGTATGATCTGATTGTGAAATGATTCCTTATTAGACTGATCCAAGTATGTCCAGGGTCATATGTGAACCCTACATGCCTGGTGTTCATGATGTGGGAAGAGACTCAGTTGGCACCAAGATGGCAGGGGGACCATCTGTACTAATAACTAACCTGGACGTAAAGAAAGCCCCAGTGGAGCTTCTGACTGCTAGGACTTTAAATAAAGCCTGGGAAACCCACAGCCCATAGAGCCTTGTGGAGGGTTCCCTGATGCCCTTGAGGTCCTCAGCTCTTGCTTTCAGCAACAGTGGGTGGAGGGGTGCCTGAAGTCTTGAGGAAATGTGCTTCTCCACACAGTGCTCTGAGCTCCGTGTCCTTCACCTCCTCTTCAGAGAGATGCTGTGGTCTGGATATGGAGGCATTTCAGTCTTAGTGCAGTTGGCCTGCCTATTTGATGTGGGGGCAGTTTTATTCTGTGGCCCCTGGATCAGAGGGCCAGAAACTGATGTCCATCCTGTGAGGGAATGAATCCCCTTCCCCCCACCCACTGAGTTAGCCTGGGGAGACTCACACCAAGAGGACCAGCACTCACCGTGCTCACTCCAGGGCCTGCTGCCCTCCTGGTCTTGATCTTGATGGTCTTTCTTTCTGGCTCCTCCCACCTGTCCATTCACAGAGTGGATTACAGAGCAGACAAAGCCCTGACTCACGAGGAACCAAGAGGGCCCGAGAAGTGCCTTCCATGTGGAGAAAGCCATGAGTGGCAGCCGAGCCTGCAAGGGTGGGGATCACTGTCTAAAGGCAGCCCGGCAGGGCCAGAGCTGTGTTTTCACAAGTGCTCCTATCTCGATGTCTTCCTCTTCCTTGTGGGGCTCACTGGCTTTAAGGAAGTTTGTGGTGGGAACCTTTCTCTTTCCAGGAAGGCAAGTCTGTGGTTGTCTCCTCACAAAGTGACCTGATGTGTTGTAGGCCACCCCACCAGCTCTTCATCATGTGGCCTCAGCTGACTCCTAAATTCCTAACAATGACTGGGTCTTCTCCTCCTGGAATATAGCTAGAAAGGATTTGCAGAGGCCATAACCTGAGGAGCAGTAGCAGAAAGATGAATTTCTCTTCTTTTCTGGGTTTGGATTCTGGGTACATGCTGACCTCCCTAGAGAGCCTCGGTGCCTTCTCCCTCTAAGTTTCCAAGGCATGGACTAGGAAGTATTTGATTTCTTCATGCATCCCTGAAACTGTTCTTATTTTGTGAGTGCCTCTTATGCAATGGGCACCATGTTTCATAATTTCACTTAGGATAAGTGATCCAGCCCATGCTTTAGAATTTCAGAGCTTGTTGGGGAGATGGGGGCTTTCTCTTATCCCTGTCTTTGGCCTTCTACTATGGGAGTCTCTCTGCCCTGGGAGCCCGGAACACTATCCTTGGGAAGCCTGGTATTAGCCTTGCCCTACCCCAGCTCGCTCACCCTGGTCGCTCTAGGGCCTCCTGCCCTCCTGGTCTTGACCTTGATGGTCCTTGTTTCTGGCTCCTCCCATCTGTTCATTCACGGAGCGGTTCACAGAGCAGGCAAAGCCCTGACTCACGGGAAACCAGGAGGGCCCTTGGTAGTGGCGGCCGAGCCTGCGGGGGCGCATCACTGCCTAAGGCAGCCCGGCAGGGCCAGGGCTGTGTTTTCACAGGTGCTCCTATCTCGATGTCTTCCTCTTCCTTGTGGGGCTCACTGGCTTTAAGGAAGTTTGTGGTGGGAACTTTCCTTTTTCCAGGAAGGCAGTCTGTGGTTGTCTCCTCACAGAGTGACCTGATGTGTTGTAGACCACACCGCCCTTCATCATGTGGCCTTGGGTGACTCCTAAACTCCTAATGTGGACTGGCTCTTCTCCTCCTGGAATATAGCTAGAAAGGATTTGCAGAGGCCATAACCCAAGGAGCAATAGTGGTTAGAAAGATGAATTCCTCTTCTCTTCTGGGTCTGGATTCTGGGTACATGCTGAGTTCCCTAGAGAGCCTCGGCACCTTCTCCCTCTCTCTAAGTTTCCAAGGTGGAGACTAGGAAGTATTTGATTTCTTCATGCACCCATGAAACTGTTCTTATTTTGTGAGTGCCCCTTATGCAATGGACACCATGAATTATTTCACTTAGGATAAGTGATCCAGCCCATGCTTTAGAATTTCAGAGCTTGTTGGGGAGGTGGGGGCTTTTTTTCCTGATCTTTGTCTCTGGAGTGTCGCCTGGGAGCCTGGCTACCCCAACTCATGCGAAAGCAGGTCTCAACAGGAGCCCTGCAGTATTATTCTTCATTCTGGCCCCAAGACCACCTCCCCACCCCTGACTTCTCCCTTCTCTGTCAATTGCAGAACCTTTCTAGCATACTGACCCTGTATCCTTGGATTCCCCGTTATCTGCCATAGTCTCATCCTTCCTCTTGCCCACCCTCACTTGACACTTACCTGGGATCCTCATAGGCATCCACTCACAGACCAGAGTCTTCAGTGAAGCCCTTTCTCCCAAGAGAATAGTGATCCCACGGACTCTTAAGGCAAGTGCCTCATATCCATCTGTCCTCTGTAATTATCCCCTATAAAAACCTCGGTTTTGATCAGGAAACATGGAGCTGACAGAGCCTGCCAGTGAGATTCACAATGCCACACCACACCCCTGGTTAGAATCCTCCAGAGAGTTTTCACTGTCACAGAGAAGCCACATCTTGTTTTCTCTACTCCCTTGTTTGAGTTTTCAGGGATTTGGCTTCCTATCAACAATGAGTCTTGGTTTTATCCTTTGAAAGAAGGAAAGCCTTAGATGATGGACTCAGGTGCTGATTTATCTTCGTGTTTGCTTCCCAGGTGGTTCCTGGTCATGACTGGCTTTAAGGAAGCAGAAGTAGCTCCTTAGTTTATGCTTGGGGGGCAGAGCTGCACTGCCTACGAAGGGCAGGCACAGCCCCTGTCCACCCCACTGTGAATGCCAAGATCTCCCTACATCACTCTCTCCTCAGGAAGCTTGATCCAGCCCTCTGGCCTGAAGATATCTTAACTCCCTGTTTTTGGCTTGTGGCTCAGCTTATCTTGTAGCATCCTTTTCCCCAGGGCTCTTCATCTTGGTGAAGCTCTGTGGGCAGTGATATGAATGGCTTCGGGGAAGTCTCTTCCTGTGAGGGTCCACTTGTCACTAGAGCTGGTGTGTTCTTGACTTTCGGACAGTTAGCTGGGAATGGTCTGCCTCTAGCCAGAATGATTGTTTGCTTGCCACATGAGTTTAGCAGTCTTCATGGGAATAATTTGGCAGGGGAGGTTCTCAAAGCTCATTCCATTGTGAGGTTCACCAGGGCTTCCATAAGATGCTCTGTCCTCATTGGTGGATCCTGAGGATTCTGTGGCTTCCTTCAGCTGAAAAAAAAAATAGTAATTTCCCATGTTCAGGATTGGGGGGTGAGGTTCCCTTTTACCTATGGGAAAGTGTCCTAGGGAGAAGACTTTGATGTTCTGAGGCACTGCTGAATATGCACGTGAATGACCTCCTGGAATTAGGAAAGAAAGATCTTTGACATCTTTTCTCCATCTTCTCTCTATTCCTTTGAGCTGCATTCTGTGTGTCACAGTTCAGATGCTCTTCCCTTTCACTTGTGCCTCCCGGGAGTTTAGACTTAACACAGTTGCAGTGACCCTCCCTCAACTGGTGCGCTTTCACATTTTAAAATGTTTATTGCATCAACATTGCAACAATAAGTCTATTTTATAAGTGAAAAGATAAATCCAAGAAGCCCAAGAATCTTTTTCTTTATTTTTTTTACATGTTCTCTTCCTGCCTCCTTCATCAGTGGATGAGATATTTATGTAATTTTCATACCTGAATAAAAGTTTTATCCTTCCGTATCATCAGCTGCAGCGGGGATCAGTTTCAGGGATGTTGCTGAGGGGGTGTCAGTATTGATAATCAGATGCATGGCCCTCCTGTATTTATGGTCACTTGGGCAAGGGAAGTGATGCTGGCTTCTTAAACTCTTTGGACCTTGGTATTGCTGCTCTAGTATTTGACCACCACAGTTGCAAACCTATGAGATGGGGTTTGTCTTAAGC